GGTTTGCACTTTTAAAAAAGCAGTGCATTTGGTAAATTAGACCTGAAGGCTGGCATCATTAGGTAGGTTTCTGCACAGAGTGATGTCATATTAGTCATAAAGACTAAAAGGCTAACTTCATTTATTGAAAAAAACTGAATTCTTTGTTTCTTTAGGTGCTTTTTAAAAAACTAATTAAAACCATCCTTAAAGTATTTACATTCCACTGAAGAAAGTGGAATTGCACAAGCCCCATGATGTGCTGCATAAACTGAAGACAAGCCAACACACTGAGGCTAGTTTAAGATTGTGAAGACAGAGTACACTTTATTTACCATCATCATAAGCTTCTCCTAAGCCTCTCAGGGGACTTATAACTTTGAAAATGAAGGTTAAAGTTGTTCTAGAATATTTTCCTATGTAGATTATTCCAGTGTGACTTTTCTTTTTGAATAAACAATATAACCTTTACACTTTCAAAACACTAATGCCCCTCAGGACAGGATGATTCAAGGTGTCAAACATTTAAACTGTGCATGAGTGTTACAAAAGAAGACTCTTTGCCTTTTTCCCAGTCTACCCCACTCTAAAATCTAAGTACAGGCATGTTAGATGTTTTCAATCAAAGTTCTCCTTTGAACTGCTGCATGTTGAAATGTTTATGGTTTTATATTTCATATTTCAGAGGTACAGGAGACAATCATCCTTTATGATTTGTTGAGTGAATAAGCAGGAGGAGGAATAAAGGGGGCTGAAGAGAAAAGAGATGTTATATGAGGAGGTGGCAAGAATTAAGTGGAAGAAAATAGATCATCATGTATCTACAATCAAGTGAATTATATTCTTTAAAATCTCCCCCATTTTAGGTCCTGCAGGTGCATTTTGACTTTAAAAGAACCCATCTTATTATTTCCCAAACCCATCAGTTCTCTGTATCATTCTTCTAACAATCATGTTGTACAGTGTTGCCTCTGGAGAGGTATGAATTGTAATAGGATCCAGACACCTTTAAAATCCATTGAAAGATAATCCATAGAAGAGTTAAGATTTTATCACAGCAAAATTAATGATTTTAACTGTACGTTAGCAGTTATTTGAATTGTTCATCCTCTGTATATTTAGTACTCATTAGCTCTTCCAAAATCCAATTTTGCTGCATTTTACTGGGCCGCCATTCTGCATGAGGAGAACTGATGTGCTAACTGGCATGTACAAGAGCACATTTAAGAAATATTAGCAGAATATTTTCATTCTGGACTCTGGGTCCAAGTGAATATATCCCTAGATTATTTAACCCATAAAGTTGCAATCCTATTCATTTTAGGCAGAAAAATACCTAAAACTCTCAGCATTCCGCAAAACAAACGCTGGATTTTTTTTCTGCCTAAGCATGCATAGGATTGCACTCTAACCAACCCAGAATTCCAGGTTCAGATGGCCCAACAACAACCCAGAAACAAGGTTCCTGATTGAAAGCAAAAGGGACAAGCATAAGGGAGGCAGTATACTTATTTGCTCCTGCTCAGGCCTGATAATCCTAAATTAACCCAGTTATTTTTGCTACATGCAACCATTTTGATTTCCAACAGTTATAAAGCATGGTTCTTATATCTTTCTTCCTGTCATTAACAAAATCCAGGCTGATCAGATATTCAAGAGATACTGTTTATAGAAAAATTATTGCCATTATACCCATTTCTCATCCAAGCTTTGAGAGCAGAAAGATGAATCCTAACAACTCTTGAGTCATATACCCTGAAAAACTCCCAATTAATATAACATGACACTTGGTTTGAGAACTGCAACCTAACAAAATTCCTGAAGTTCACACACAAAGTATAATTCAGGTATTTCTGTCTAGTGGTTTGAGGCAGTGCTTCAACCTTAGTTAGACCTTCTACCTTTCTCCATCTCTATCTGAACACCCAAACAAATCGTACATTTGGAGCACTGTCCTCCATGTGCAAAGGAAGCAGAATGTACTGGCAGAACAACATTTACAACTCTTTATTTATTCACATCTCCCATTACCTGTTTATGAAACCTAGATTAAAGAGATATGCATTCATTCTACCTACTATCCCCAAACTGTTTATAGCAGATGCCCAACAAAAACAGAATCTTTCAACTTTTCTTTAAAGGAGTCTGGTGGGTGATCAAAACCTGTTTCTTTCAGTCTAAACTTCCAACAGATCATTCATAACATTATTAAGACTGTTAGCAAGGAAGTATCTGAGTGGGATTTGGGAATGGCATTCAGAAATGTAATGAAGAAATATAAATGAATAAGCCACACAAACACACAGCTTATTTCTTAAATTGACTATCATAACATGTACTTGTGGTGCCTTCAGTGCTTCTGTCACAGCATGGCAGGCTGAGCAAATCCATCATTTAAAAGTTTGGTCAGCTTTTTGAAGATGGGATAGAATGTGCCAGGCCAGCCTCTCCCTCACCATTCAATGGACAGCTGTCACATTTCACAACAAAATCCACTGCTCCTTCTGCAAATGCCTTTGCCTCTGAACTGGCAACAGGGGGAGAGGAAAACAGCTGGCACTCTGTATGAAGTCAGACTTGGCCTTGGCCTCCAGTTGATGGCCCTTAAAGTACTCACAAACATTAATTAAATTGTGAAACTTCCATGCGGAAGTGGAAGAAGAGGGGCAGAGCAAGCAAGCAAGAAAGAAATTTTCTCTCTTTATCCCCACCTCTGCACACCCATCCCCATGCTTTTGTATCCATCCAGTCAAAGAAATTCACTGAGAACCAAAAGTTAAATCAACAGTACATTCAGGTGAACCACCTGCACTTACAGAGACATCAATCCAAATGGACATCCCTTTCAAAGCAATGCAATGCAGAAAGAATTCTTGAGCACTGGATGGACATCTGATTTATCCCCAGTTCCCAATTCAATAAGTCAGACATGCACAGAAGCATGTGTTAGGTTTGCAAATCTCTAAGGAACAGGGTGTTATGGAGCTGGTTCTCAGCACAAGCACTGCAACCCGAAGTTTAGCCTTTCCCTTTTGGCCCCAAGCTAAAGAAAAGCAAGCAGCATCTCCCTTTCTTCAATCTAACTCTCAGCCTGCCAGTGAAAAGCTGGTGCTGCCTCCATGCTGCTCTCTACTGCTGGCATTTGGAGGAAGCATTAGAGTAGTGTGCATACACTTGCCCTTGGCCCCTGTTACTTTTGACAGGTTTGAGGAGTTAAAAAAACTCTTGCACATCATAAGGATTCCTCTGGTATGCAGAAATTTTCTTTGACCCTATGCAGGCAAATCTGACCACTCAGTGCATCCACTCACATCATTAAAGAAAACATCCATTTCATCTTATGGCCACCTGCTCATTCAGAAAATGACTGGATGCCAGATTTCTAATGATTTTTTTTTTTTTGTCTTCAACCCATCAATATACCAGCTATTCTAATACTTCCTTGTGTTTCAAGGACAACTGTGTTTCTGCAAAACTTCATAGATATCTGTGTATGTTGCTCTTGATGTGCAATTTTCATTCAAAATCACAACCATTTCCAAAGGAAGAAAAAAGTCAAAGAGCCCAAGTTCAAATTTGTGTTTGGCTATCACTTACCCTCCATCAGTACCCCCAAATTTCCAAGAAACATTTTCACAATCAGCTGTCAGTAACAGAATTAATTTTACATTTTCTTCATGACAGGTCAATGTTTCAAATATTCTGAAATGCAATGATCTTTATTTTTTAAACTAAAACATTTTTAAAAACAAACTCTAAATTGAGAATAAATGCTCAGGATTCCCATCTCATGTTAACCAGCATGGTTCCACTGAAATGCCATTTTGGTTCTCCTATACTGGAAACTGATGTAAAGGCATTTTTACCTGCTAATTTTCATCAAACAAGAATCTAACCCAAATTCACATCATGCTCCCTCCCCTTCTTTCCCTGAAGGTATCTGTCAAGTCTCTACAGGATGGAATTTTGCTTTGCTGTTTTAGCATAAATCTGGCCAGGGCTTCAATGGAATTTGAAACCAAAAGGCCTTAATAAATAAATATTATGATAAGAATATGAAAGCAATGCGTGCACTGAAGATAATTGGAGAGGGGAGAAAAGCCTAAGCATTCCTTTCTAAGCTAAAATCATAAAGCTTTACTTGAAGCCAAGTCCTCTCTTTATAAAGCTTGCAAAGAACCACAAGAAAAAAACCTCATCTACTTTTCCAGTCTAGTTTTCCTTATTTTATTGCAAAAAAGGAAGACTTTTAAATAGATAACACAGGAACCTTGAGATTCTCTTCAACTTGTACAAGAGAAGGGAAAGAAGCAGCACAATCCACTGCTATATTGCTTAACTCATCAAACACCTCCTGCCCACTCCGATATTTCTATCACATGCTTTTCCTTCCATTTCATCCTGAAGTGCCATGCTACAATTACTGCAAAGTAAAGCTTCTGTGTGTGTGTGCGTGCGCTCGCGCACACGATCGAGTACCCATCAGGTGCTATTTTTTTCAATCTGAAGAGACCACAACATAATCAGGCCCTTTCCAGGTAGATCCACGTAAAAAATGTCTCTTCGCAAAGAATGTCTACATCTCAAGCCTCACTGCGGTGCATAAACACGAATCGCGTTCAACAATGATAATGCACGTGTTACGTCTCGTCAGCATTCCAAAAGCGATTGCCGATTAAATTAACAAGAGAATGAACCAGGGAAAAAATTACAGATAGCAAATTTCTTGGTTCTGACTGTGGGGAAGAAATTAAACTTTTCCTCATAGCCATCCACCTCTCCTATCCCCACGACCCAAACAACAATTTTCAAAGCATTTCTAACTAACATAATTAGTAAAAACTAATGGAAAAAAAGCAAACCTTTTGCAAGCGACAATAAGGTATTTGCTAATCTCGCAAATTCACCTAAGGGTTAAAAAACAGGGGAATAGTCGCGTATGTATTTAACACACACACACACACACACACGTGCATATCATATGCAAGCACAGACGGTGGCGAGGGGTAGATTTTTCTTACCTTGACTAGCTTTAGCCATGGTGTTGCCAGAGTAGAGGAGAAAAGAAAGTAAGCACAACCCAACAATCTCCAGGGCCCCCATTACAATCGACTTGTGTGCAGAAGGGTCGAACCGGGGGGGGGGGGGGGAGATCTTCTTCTTTGATGCTTTAAAGCAGCGTACCGTCAAACAGCATGCAAACTCTAACCAAAAAAACAAACGCACAAAAAAGGTCTGTTTTCCTGGTGGTGGGTGAAAGCGCTACTGGAGAAAGGACGGTCAAATCTGCACAGGACTCCGTCTAGTTTTCCTGATGCTACCAAATAGGAAAAGGAAACCCGCAGTATCTTTTAAGTGGACTTGATCGTCCTCCCTTCAGCTGCCTCCTTTTCGCAAGAAGGAATCCCAGCCAGTTCCAGTTTTGTTAGAGAGCAGTAGTTCCCCCCACCCCTAAGAAGTGCCTTGGTCTGGTGTTGGGGACCTGTGAAAGGTCCATCCAAGCAACGCCCTTTTTCCTTTCTCTCTTTCTTTCTTATATGCCTTTGCCTGCTCCTTCTTCACTCCCTCCCACCCGGCCAGGCTCTGCTCGGCTCTGCCTGCAGGAATTTACAGTCTGCCACTGGGGGAGCAGGGCCAGTAGCCATGGAGACAGCTTCCCTGGGAGCAAGGAGGTCAGGCCAGAGACCACGTGCAATCAATGGATCAATGCAAACTCCCGTGCGAGCTCCAGACCCAACAAGCCCTTCGCAGTCTCTTCCCCCCACTTTGCTGAGTTAGGGAGGAAAGAGAGGAGGGGCATGAGAAAGGGGATTGTGTTGAGAAAAGAGAATTAAGGAGAGGAGAAAAAGGCGCGGGTGGGGGGAACCAGCTTACAGATGCCGTGACCTGCGACACTTTTTTTTCTTACTTTTTGGTGCCTGCCTGGTCTGAAGGCAAGGGAGACGTGTTCTCGGAATCAATGCAGACTCCAGATCAAAGAACCTTCTTTCTATCTCTGTACAGCTGAGCCGAGGGAGATGAGCGGGGTTGCGATAAAGCAGCGATAGCAAAAGAAGAAACAACCCTGCAAATTGTCTAGACTCTGTGCCACGTTATACTACCCTCTCCTCTGAATGAACTAGAGATTTTTCTACCAACTTTTCTCTGAAATGTGACCATCCCATTCTTGTGCTTGCTTAGTAATTTGTAATTACTCAAGCGATTTGGTTTCATTGCTTTGTATTCTGCAACGGTATTTTCAACTTTTCTTGTTTTCATATACTTTGGAAATGCCCTCCTAGTATGGGGTTTACTGTGGACCAAGGTTCAGCCTCTTGAAGTTGCTTTCTGTCTTGGAAAGAATTCAGGCTTGTGAATGAGTGAAGAGGAAGAGTACTTCTAAGCAAGTGCAGAATGTTAGGCATGGCACTCTGGCACCACATGCTTAGGATTAGCAGGGGTGTTTAGGAAGATCCTGAACTGTTTTATGAGAGGTACTGGATTCCCCATTTCATATTAGCTGTGGGAATGGTTGCTTTTCTTCTCCCCAAGACCCAGCAAATTATATAAATTGTTAGATTCTATATTAGAATATTAACTTTTCTGAGATTTTTTAAAATGTAATGTCTAATGGAGGTGGAATTGGTGATTCAGTAATAGAATCTGGTGGGTTTGGGATCTGGTACTCAAATCCATCTGAGATGGACATTTTTTGCTGTTACCTAGTGCTATTTCATCTTTCAGCAAATATGACATATCCATGGTACAATGGAGAATTAGAAGAGTAAGCTTAGAAGTGTTGTGCACAAGACCAGAAGATTAATAACCAGAAGAAAGATTCTATCTTTCATAAGGGCTTGGCTCTACCATTAGATAGTGAAGTGGCTGCCTTAGACTCCTGATTTTAGATTTCATGAGAAGTCTGCTGAACAAACAATTATAGAATGTTTTGCATTGGCTTGCTTAACTTCAGTTCAGGAGCTATTGTGGCCTCTTGACTGGGGCATGTGTATATGCTTTGTTGCCCCATGACAGGTAGCAAAATATTTTGGGCGAATGCCATGTTTGTCAAACTACACTTTTTAACCGAGAAATTACTACCCAAGGTTCCTTGGGATACATTCCAATGGCAGCTTCCTGTGTTCCCCTATCATGCAATTGAATATAGAAAATTATATCTGGGAAAACAGATACCTTTACTACTAAGGCTTAATTTACACTAAAGTGGGCTAAACATGAGCTGTACAAACTCCAAATACTGATGAAAACTCACATGATCAAATTGAATGCTCCTCTAGACAAAATCTTTGCATGTTTATCTGAGAAAAGACTAGGCTAGAACTTCACCCTAACATCTAGTTTGCTTTGTGGAAGGCTTTTCTCCTCTGAGCTTCCACCTACAGTTTGAAGTGGTTTATCACCACTATGAAAACAAGGCCTCTTGTCAGCTGTGCGAATTTCACAGTCTGCATTGATCCCTGTATAACAGGGCCCAAGAAACAAAGTATAGCTGAGAAAACTTATGCAGAAACAGCATATCATTCCCCCAAATTAAAGCCATGTTAACACCCCTCAGTTCTTTAAGGCCTTATTTGTACTCTGTGTTCTAAAGCTGCTCATTAACCTGGCAACATCTTCCTGGATTTGCACAATAAATTACTTTTTTTGGAAGCTGCTTTTAAACTATCCACTAACAGTCATTTTTATTTGCTTGTTTTTAACTGATCTGCTTTCCCATACTCATTTGACAGGGGGAGACACTTTAGCAGCTAGTTTTCTAGATCAGTTCAGGAGGAAAATGCAGCCCCAGGAGCTTACTCCCTTAAGATGCAATTGCTCATACTCTTCTACCAGTTGGCACTCGTCAGCTGGATTCTTTACTCCTCTCCATCAAGCTGCACAATACACTCAGATAATTTGAGTCTTCTAGGAAAGAGACTAACATTAAAATCCTTCTAGAATATTTCTGTTCTATCTATATTTTATTTATTTATTTATTAAAACATTTCTATGCCGCCCCTTGCCGAAGCGGCTCACAACATCTAAGAAGATGATTATGGCTGTTGTGATTACAAGCTACCAAGTTGTCTGACTTCTGGCAACCCCATAGATGAGTGCCCTCCAAAATGTCCTCTAATCCCTTTGCAAGCAAAGGGCAATTTGAATTTAGGAGAATATTCAGCTAAGATTCCACTATGCGCACTTCCGAGGTGATGGAGAAGCTTCACATCTTGAAGAGAGTATGCTTGCTTCCTGATCTCTTTCTGTCAGCATGTCACATTAAGCCCCTTAATTAAATGTCAGCCTTTTCAGGGCAACACCATGTGCCCAACTGAATTTTTAGGTCAAACTGCAATAAATTCAGTTTTTCCAAGCTCTTCCTCCTCAAGTAGTGTCTTCTGGTTCTCAATAATGCATCAATTTATTTCATTGTTTTCCCCAACTGGG